ACAGGGATGTTTCATTCGCATTCACTCTGCACGATCCACAGGTGGCGCTGCTCTCTGTAGAGATGCACTCTCTCCGAGAAGAGAATGAGCGAATGAGGACAATGGCTGATGTTCGAGAACCCAGCGAGCAGCTCCAGAGTGCGATCAGAGACCGAGACGATGCCATAGCTAAGTAAGACTCTGCGATTTCACAACTAGCTTAGTCCTTTATCACTACTTCAACAGGTGTTTGCACGGGTTTAGTAAGTTCATTTTGCTGTTGAAAAGATTAAAAGTTTTATCTTTTTACTGTATTTACATTCAATTTATGCCTCAGATCATTAAACAGCGTGACAGCGCTTGAATTTTTTTCAAGTTATAACATAATGAGATGTAAATATTTTCAGCCATCATTTCAGATTTTAATCATATGTTTGATAACTAAATTATCAAGTCTGTTAATCCCTAACCCTAAACCTTATTATTCTAGAGTCTAGATAGATGGAAAAAACAGTTCTAGAGCTGCTGTCCCCAACCCCTAGGCCACGGATCGGTACCGGTCCGTGAGTCGTTTGGTACCGGGCCGCGAGAGTTGAGGCTCAGGTGTGAAATTTATGGTTTTCAGGGTTTTTAATCTTTTTTTTTTAATCGTTAACTCAGTTTTCCTGGGTCTTTTCCATGTATTATAAATAAATCTTCTTTTTTTTTTTTATACCTACCGGTGCCGTGTTTTGTTTTTTTTTCACGACACCTTAAAGGCAGGTCTGTGAAAATATTGTTGGACATAAACCGGCCCGTGGCGCAAAAAACGTTGGGGACCGCTGTTCTAGACCATAATGTCATGATCTAGAACTGTGACATACATGCTGACAAAGTGCTCTTATCCATCTAAACTCTGCTGCTTGTGCAAGTACAAATTGATACAGCATATATTCAACATAACTGTGAGGTTTGCTGCAAGAAGTCAACTTATTTTGTCACTGAGTAATGACTGATTTGTGTGGCAAAGTGCCAGAGCTGACTTTGTGCGTGGCCTTCATTCATATTGTTGTGTGTGTGTGTCTGTGTGTGTGTCTGTGTGTGTGTCTTGCAGGAAGAAAGCGGTAGAAATGGAGCTGGCCAAATGTAAAATAGACATCATGTCTCTGAACAGCCAGCTGTTGGACGCCATCCAGCAGAAGCTCAATTTGTCGCAGCAGCTGGAGGCTTGGCAGGTGGGTCAAAGGCTATATTCAGCATTTTTTTTTTTTTTTGGAACAGCTCATTTTAAAAACATAAGTTACGTAAATGCCAACGCAATAAAAGATGAAGTGCGACTAAATTAGGTTTGGACAACTATAAATACACTTATACATGAATAAAATGCGTCTAGCTGCTAGAACAGTTTGTCCATCCCCCCTGTCTTCACTGTAGCTTGTGTCAGTCTGTTACCTTAAAGCCACTCACAGCCTCTGTGTATTCAAACTGAGCTACTCACTTTACTGTGGAGAGAGAGTGTCCGTTTCTCGTCTGTGATGGACAAAAGTAAAGGAACATTACAGTGCTGTGTAAAAGTCTTGAGCCAATTTTTTTTTTTTTTTTGCTTCTAAGGAGCCAGAATTTCTGGTAATTTTTTAAAGTGGTCTCAAGGAAAAGTTCTCCAGGATTTGTGAGTCTTTTAAAGGTTTTAACACTGAGCCATGAAACAGTCAAGCATAAAAAAAGCACCTAACTCAAGGGACGAACCAGTGATATCTTCAAATAACAGACAACCTGGTGAAGACTGAATTTTAAATGTTATCTTTAGGAACTTTGCAACTTGCAGTCTGTTACAACCCTCCTTTAAACTTCAGGCTATCAGAAAGTGTCTGAAAGTGATGTCCTTAAGATATCAGAAAAACATCCAGCAAAGACCTGACACAGGACCTGAGGGATCTGGCATCTGGCCCTTCAGTTGATTCATCTACTGTTTGATGAAGTGTTGTACGGGTGGAGGGTAGCTGTCAAGAAGCCATTCTTACAGAAGGGAAACGGGGAGAAAAGACTCTGGTAAATTACACAAGAACTGGACTGAAAATCAGTGGCAACAGGTCTTATCGAGTGATGAATCCGAATTTGAAATTTTTGGTCCAATTCATTATCAATAGACAACTTAAAGAAATTAATAATGGATTGCATTTATATAGCGCTATTCCGGGACCCCTCAAAGCGCTTTACAGTTCCACTATTCATTCACT